GATATCAAAGGAATTTCCTATGCTATTAATGACTACGAAAAACTTCTTGTTTGTGTGGGTTGCACTATAAAAGAAAAATCATAAACAGCAGGAACTTTTTCATTATATATAGTCAGAGAAAAGAAAATTTTGTTTTCCGTTCATAAACTTGAGGCAATTGCCTTAAGTGTAGTTATTAAATAACACAGCATTGTTGGGAAAAGAAGAGCGAAGTAAGTCGACAAAATTCTATTTTGCAAATATGCTAGGTTTTTGACATGAAATAAAGTAATAAACGTAGAAGGCTGCTATTGGCTATACCCCACCGAAAATAACGACCGTAAACAAGTATCTATACAAACACCCAAGACATGCTGTCGATTTCCTCTGTCAAGCCGTAAGCAAAATATGTCCGAATATTTTCTATCTATAACGCAGGATAAATGAATTGAGAAACTTGAAAGGGAACGAAGAAAAGGTTATTATTTCTTTCAAAATCGTCGTTGATATTTGCCATTCTGCCCTGCTTTTGTTATCTTTTAACCGAGCCTAAAAGTAAACAAGTATGCTCCGGTTTACATGTAAAATTTGCTCCTTTATTTTCAGCAGAAGACGTATCCCTAATTTTTAAGGAAGTCAAAAAACTGGTCAAAATTTCCCATTCTGATCTTGACTTTATCTTCAAAAAATAAATTACGCAGACGTTCGGCGCCGAAATATATAACTAAAACGCTTTTTCAAGAGGTAACCCATTAGAATAATTTTTTAAATTAATTTTATGCATATTCATTCGCATCTTTTGTTGTGGACGTTCACTTTTCTCGGCGACGAGTTGACATATTTGGGTGAGTGTGAAACCATGACCCAAACAGACAGCTGCATAAAAGAAGAATGTTAACAAGCTCGTTATTTAGGTAAATGCTTCTAAGAAGTATCTTATTTTGAAGGTTTTGGTAAGCACGTAGAACACAATCATTATCCATGGTCAGTCAACTGAAGGCAATTAAAATAGTAAAGTGTTAATTACCATTTCAAGGACGGTCTGAACCTCTTCGTAATCGAAATCCCAAAAGTATTACAAAGGAATGGGGCGGAAGGAAACCTCTCTTAATGTACAAAAGGTGGTACGTTATCAATTGCAACTGAAAATTCCATTTAAATGTATTAGTCACTGACTAGCATGTCTTTACGTGAGCTTACGAAATATCTTACTCCTCTGACCTCCCAATGAGCGAAATCAAACGAAAATGTGGTTGATTTAGTCTAAGGTAACGCAAGCAATAATTGAGGAAAATGTTCGTATCCCAGTTCGTGTATAGATCGAGAAGTAGAAAGCATTTCGATCATCAGAATCATAGTTTTACTTGTCTGAGCTTTCGGGCTCTTCCTGCAGACCATCGTCAGAAATAGAAGGCGTCAACGAAAGACGAGCAACAGTTATTGGATTCGCTGGAAGCCGCTGAGTCCATTTTATGATCTCATTGCTCCTGCCATAGTCTTTCAATATACGAATTAATTTTTAGAACATTACTGCGGAGAAGCTACTCTTAACTTTTTCTTCATTATGCAATCTCTTTCTGTTGCAACCAGAAAGTTAATGTGACACAGTTTAACCTTTTATGACGTTTTGATAAGGTAAGTGGATTAGAATTAACCAAGAAAAGTATACTAGCGTTCTTGTCGGATAAGTCACGTAATTTTAGGCTGGATGTCCTTAAGATTTATCGGTCCCTTCTTGACAGAAGTTAATCCAAATTTATTCTTTTAGATAGCAGCATTACGCGAAAGGACTTCTTAGGGAAGTTGCCAAAGTCAGAGTAAGAGGTTTTAGAACGACTACATGCCAAAGGGGCGTTCCAGCTTCCGTACTTGAGGGAGAGCGGATCTGTTTGTGTAAACCTCCGTCGAGGAAACAAGCAATACTGCGATACGGCTATCGGCTGTAAGTGTAGGAAAGATCTTTTGTCCGACTCGCTACGCGGAAACTCGCATAGCATAGGTGTCATCACTTTTGGCTTCAGCGTTCTACCTACGCCCAAGAATAGAGCTGAAATACTCTGTGGTCGTATAGCATAATCCCGCACGGATCTAAATTTTTGACAGGTCTGTCTTTTAAATACTGGACTTGGGATCCCGCTTCTAATCTAATTTTGCCAGCGATGATTAGGAGGAGTGTTAGGTCTATAGTATAACTGTCTAAGTCGGTTACCACTTTTAGTCTCACATTTTATAGGACGAGATATTCATATGCAACAAAAATTCGGATGAACTACTCATGCGAGATCCAAACTGTCAGCCATAAGCTCACTGCTTTTTTGGGCACCGAGATATAGCCCCATTACCACCATTCCCAAAATACAAGCACCACAAACCCACCTTCGCCACCATAAAAAATAACTGCGACCAATGCGTTAGACTTAGCATCTCCATGCCTACCCAATGCTGTGACTAAGTATACCTTCACTGGAGGACGGTACCAAGTGTCGAACTCTAATAAGCTGCCTGTGCGATTAATTTTCCTGATTTCTACTAGTTCGCGTTCGGACTAATCTCAGTGTTGACAGCGGCAAAGTAGAACCAATCATAATCCAAACGCTTGAGCACGGATACTTTTACATCTCCCCACCCCCAAATATAATTTTCTAAAAAAGATCTAAGAACGTAACGCTTTTGCTGCTAAATTACCACTAGCCTCATATTATAAGAGGCCATTCTTTTGAATTCAGAGGTGTAAGCATGTCTTTGCCTAACGCTAAAACTACAGACCTATACCAGACGGGCCAATCTGATAGCAGTTGTTATGCCACACCGCATGCTGATCAAAATTACCGACACCCGCATTAATCACCGCTCATCATACTGGCTGCGATGACGGCTTGGCCGCCCGCATCCGAACCGTTAACCCTCGCAATTTCATCCCTTGCGTTGGTTATTGACGTGACAATGACTCGGTCGTTGGCACTGTTAAGTGTTCGGCTATTGACTTTGAATGTGCCTAATTACTCAGATCAAGCAAGATTTCAACGCTACTTATGGAGAGGGAGGTAGTATTCTTCCTACTCTGGGCGTCCATTGCAATGCTGCGACTCGCGCACTTACTTTTACGCGCAGTCTGCTTCTCAGCTAATCATGAATATCCAGCCCGGCCAATCAACGTCAAGGCCGATCCAGGCATACTGTCCTTCAAGGCGCTATTACGATACCCCACGCACAATCGGGATGACGGTCCTCTCGGCGCTAGACGTATGCCTTCCATCAGTCACCAATATGCTCTCAGCCCTTAGCAAATGTTTCTATACAGAATTTACTGTCCTCTAAACTGGTGTCCAACTATTCCCTTTTCTGTTCGAGAACGACTTCGCAAGTAGTAATGTCTAGGGCCTCCTTATAGCTTAAGTTGCCGCGACAAGGTCATATCGTCTGCAGATGGGCTGATGACTGAACGATCACGGGTGACACAGCTTGCGGCCCACGCGGTTGTCCGTCCTCGTGAGAATTTCTGCTTGATCGAATGCAGAGTTGTGATCTGATCCCGTCGAATAAGCCGCGAC